GTGGGGTATCAGTATAGGTTAGAATTAGGCATCACATGCTTGGCCGCGTCACCAAAGTATATCAGAAACACCAATCCAATTCGGATTTCACGAGCTACAACGGGCATTTTTTAAGCCACAGTAGATGGTTCAACCATAAAAGTTGCCAACGTTGGGGTTTTGAAGTTTGATACAAAAAAAAAAACATGGGGTGCCGGATGGTCCCACCCTGAAACTTTGAACAAACGTTGAGTAAACATGAGTAATGAGTAATCTATACACTAAAACTATATCTAATCTATACTAAAACTATCTAAAACTGAAGGTTTTAATGCATTTGACACTCATTGACTTGCGCCAAAAAAAAAGGCGACGGTTGTTCCGCTTGTTCCGGTTCCGGTGATCTCAGGCGCGTACGAAGCCTCTTCCTCCACCTCGAAACGAGTGGCCTTGCTGCCAGTCGCCATTGACTCATGGGTTTGTCCGTGAATACGACTGGCATTGAGTAATCATATTCAATGAGTGTTTCTCCATAATCATGACCATAAAACACTCAACTTAAATTTGATGATTAGTCATGATTATATGACTTGATACTTGCATCATTTTATAAATGTTATGTCCTATCAAAAGATTTTCAGGTGTTTTCTGAAAAAATGGACATCATGTTCTATACTATACAGCATTTTCAGGCACAGTGAATTCACAGCAAAAAAGTCATCCCACAAAGACACAAATTGCTTGGGGGACTGGTACCTGGTTGGTGGTTTCAACCAACCTAGCCCTCTGAAAAATGGATGGAGTGAGTGAAAGTCAGTTGGGCTGATGACATTCCCAACTGAACGGAAAAAAATAATCCAAATGTTCCAAACCACCAACCAGCCATCTATAAATGGCTGAACTACCCTCTGGTAATTTAACATAACTATGGAAAATCACCATTTTTAATGGAAAAATCCACTATTAATGGATTGTTGCAGCATTCACATAATCTGTTCCTCTCCATTGCACCAGCGGAATGTCGTAAAATGTCGTAAAATGGAAAGCTATTGGGGAATGGTCTTTACCTCCCAGTGATGTTTCTTTCTTTTTTATTGGGGATAGTTTATTAATGTGGGTAAAACAATGCCATAAACCATCCCCCAGTCATCAGCATTTTTATAGGTGGTATGGTTACCATTAGACTATGGGTGCTTTACAATTGGGTTTACCAAATTGTATACCCTCTGGCTATTGAACATAGCCATGGTATAGATGGCCCATAGAAATAGATGATTTTCCCACTAAAACCTCCATTTATGGTTGGGATTTTCCATGGCTATGTTAGTCATAACCAGATGGTACTCTAAATCTATCAATGGCCATGTCAGGAACTGATTTATTGGAGGTACCTACCATATATAAGGCCTATTTTTCAGGCCCATGTAAGGGAACATCCCCTAGTAAAATATGGTCTTATATCTGTATCGTGCTTCTCTTTGCAAAGACATTATATGATCGGATGTTGCAAGGCTCCGAAAGAGGCCAGCTCAGCACTGGTCAGTGGGCCCACTAGGAGATATTGATCACCCCTAACTCAGCCATCTGAAAATAGGGAATGTAGCTGCGAAAAATGGTCAAATATCAAAACATAATGTAAGAATTGTATGGAATTGTGAGCTTTTCTATGATGAATGATGATCCCATATTTTTTTAAGTCAAACTAATGTTGCTCAACCTTCCTTGTCTTCCGACATATTCTTCACGAAAAAACAACTCCCAGCCAACTCGCTCTGTTTTGCATACTGCGGAGGGGTCAGACTTTAGGTGCCTTGCCGTTTACGACAGGTCCAGGTAGCGGTATCAACTGCTGTTTGGTAGTTGTCAAACATGGCGATTGCATGAAAATCCCCGAGCCAAATGGAGATTTTGATGGTAAAATCGAGCAATAATTAATGGCAGAGTTTCCATTGCCATGTTCTTTTTATACCGAATGGTAAGCATTTGAAATTCAACATTGACTAGTAGTCCTGATTGCTGCGCCGGTACTACCAGCAGGAACAAACAATTATTTACACCCAGTTTTTTGCATATTTTATAGACTAACTTTAACCCATGCCTGTATTGATCGGACTGCTAGCCAGTTGGAAAATGTCCACGACCCGTCGCCGGACAAGGAGGGAGTCTGCGAACAAAAAGAGTCACTGAATACGTGAAACGGAACTCTGCTCCGACGACCAACTTTTGGCTGACAATTTAAAAACATACCAACGACTAGTCTGAAATCAGGTCATGTAGGAGAAGTTGTTTACATAAACTCATGATTTCTCTGGTCATTGTTCTACAGGTCACGATTGGATATATCTTGTTTGAGGATGTTTCCTATAAGAAGTCTCGAGTCGTGTCCCTCGCACTGGACGTCAGTAGCAATCTGAAGATCAGACCTTTAAAGCACCTCCCGCACCGCACTGGACCTGGTGCTTTTTCAGGACAAAGTCACGGATCAATACTGGTGAAATATCGTAACCCTAACGTGAAAGTCCCCTTTCTTCGTGTCTCTCATCAATATAAATGGCTGAACTGACCACCTTTTGATATCTATAAATGGCTTATCCCATCTGGTTGGTGGTTTCAACCCCTCTGAAAAATATGAAAGTCAGTTGGGATGATTATTCCCAATATATGGAAAAATAAAATTCATGGTCCAAACCACCAACCAGCCATCTATAAATGGCTGAACTAACTATAGATATATCTGGATAAATTATAATATTTCACCAACCTGAATTACGGCCATTTGGGGATGATTTCCCTTACTAACCATGATTACAGTGAGGTCGTAGTGAGGTCGTTATAATTTACCCAGATATATGAACCACTTTTTAAGTCTTCGAATCCCACAAGTTCCTCAAGCTGCTCATCGACTTATAAAGGCAACCATGGCGCATTGGCGACATATCTCTCCCCTTACATAGCACAAAATAAATGGGCCATGTGTGTATATATACTCCGAGGGTACATGCCCGAGGCGCTTGCTTTACCACTTATTTGAGGCTCCGGTTTTGGGGCCTTGGGCCCACCTAGGCTTTGAGAAGAAGCGCCCCCAAAGCCTTAATAAAAGGCCTACTAAGGCATGTACAAATCGCAATGGCTTGGACGTGAAACTACTAAGCATATCGCGAAAAACTAGTAAAGCACCAGTTGCGAATCACAATGGCTTGGACGCAAAACTACTAAGGAGTTCATGAAAAACTACTAAGGCGTGAGTTGCAAATCACAATGGCTTGGGCGCAAAACTACTAAGGAGTTCATGAAAAACTACTAAGGCGTGAGTTGCAAATCACAATGGCTTGGGCGCAAAACTACTAAGAATGTCTCTCAAAATTCAAGAAAAGAAGAAGATACTGTTTCTTTTATTCTTTGAAGCATTTTCTTAGTAGTTTTGCGGCCGAGCCAATACGAATTGCAAAATCGTCCTTAGTAGCTTTTGAACGCATTCTTAGTAGCTTTGCGGCCAAGCCAATACGAAATGCGACACCGTGCTTAGTAGCTTTTGAGCACATGCTTAGTAGTTTTGCGGCCAAGCCAATACGAATTGCTAATTTAACGCTGCTTCCGCGTGATGTATGTGGATGTGCACGCGCAAACATGGCCCCGCTCCCCAGGAATCAACGTTGCCACTCGCAAAAGCTAGTCTTGCTGCCTTTCCTGGTGTAGCTTTGCAGAGTGCGGAAGTAAGTCAACTTTGATATCTGGGGGTGCCGGGGGTTGCGCCCAGGGTCCTGTATACTGCCGCTGGCGGTACGCATGTATTGGCATTGCTTGTGGCAGTCATGTTTGCTGCAGAACAGCACTGGCACCCCTGCCCCTTTTGAAACGTTCCTTTGGCTTGCGCTGCGACGCGGACCCATTTTTGGGGCTGTGGGCCTGCATGCTTTTTGCCTTCCTTCACTGCGTACCCTGCATGTGAAACCAGCATCCTGGCACCAAGCGCAAGAAAACATGAATGGAAGATGCAACCTGTCGCAGCTCAACGCGCTCTTTGCAGAAGGCAAAAAGCATACACCATGGGCCCGAAATTGGGACCACACATTTGGAAGCTGGGCTGCTAATTTTAGTATTGTGGCCCCATTTTTGGGTCCAGAATCTGGCCCCTGTTTTGGGGCCACAAAACACAAACAAGAGCTAGTCAATGCGGGCAGCAAGTGTGCTACTGCCGACGCAAGCTGACAGCAGCACATATCCGTGATACTGTATATATATAAGTTATATGTTACATATATATATATGTTATATATATATATGTATAATTATATCTATATATATATATGTTATATATATATATGTATAATTGTATCTATATATATAACTATATATGTGTATGTTATGTATATATATTATATATATCTTGTATTAATGGTAGGTATACCTAGCTGTTTTTCATGGCTAGAAAATCGCCTGTGGCTTTTTTCGAGGTTTTTCTCGATGATTCGATGATGATCCGAAAACGGTGGCGGGAGGCAGTTGAAAGTTGCCATTAGCGCTGCCAGAATGGGCAGCCATCGTAGGGATCCAAACCATGGCCGGCATCGCTCAGCTCTATAAAAAACGGTTAAAAACTAGCTGTCTTATCAGATGGCCCCAAGATAGAGAAGCAAACAAGAATCCTGAGTAGTTGTGGTAAATCACTGTTCTATCTGGGGGTTAATATATTAATATAATTTGATATACATACTGTCCATACTACTGTAGTAGTTGGCAACAAAAATGTCGGGATGGTAAAGCCATGTAAAGCCACAGTTGGCTTCAGCCGGTGACTTACCGACCATCCCGAAGTGATGATAGATCTAAACCTATCGGCTGAAGACCACACCAGAAATGGTATAATTACTTCTTGTTGTATCTTGGGTTTTTGCGAATGGCGATGTGTTTTGCTTTCTGTCAGGAACACTGCTCAAATTTAATTCATCGCCTGTTGATTTTCCCAAATATAAAGCTCGCTAGTTCGCGGATTTCCATGCCATGTTTTTTTAGACACTGGAGGGCAGGGCAGTTTTCTATCTTGACCATGGTCGCTCCCTACGTTGAACGCATTATGAGACACCGGGGGTCTGACTGTCAGACTCGCTCCCGCGGTCATCGGGTCATCGCATCAAATGGGACAGGAAGTCTTCTTGTCCGCCCCATTCCTCGCAAAATGCCCAGCAACATAAAAACATGAAAGGCTCAATATGGCTCAATTCAATATCTTCCTGAAACCTAAAAAATCAAAACCGAGGGGCTCATGATATCTCATGACGACCCTTAAAGACAGTGACTCACATGGGCAAAAGCAAAAGTATCAACATCTTCGGGCCGTTAGGGGTGGGATTTCTTTAAAACGCCGTGGAATCGTCGTACTTCGAGTCCCTTTTTCACACATCATCAACCATGATCTGGGCAAATTATCATAATTCACTCGCCTCAAAAACTTGAAAAAAGGGATGATTCCCCAACTTGAAACCATCCAGGCCTCCCATGATGGATGTAACCTCTACCGGCCAAGGGGCTCTGAATTGGTTGGGCGAAATGGGCTCGCCTCGTTGAGGTCCACGCTCCGGACTGACGAAGCCGATCGTCTCTTGGGAGCGATCGTTCTGTCGATGATACCTGGACGTCAAAAACTCAGGGAAACCATTGAAAAACCATGGATGTTCATTGAAAAACCCTGGGTTGTTGTGATAAGTTGTTCCTCTTAGGATTTTTTTGCAGAGGTTTCACTACTAAGGTTCCATTATAACTCCCTGATTAATATCTGTTAAACCAACTCCCTCTCAGGAACACAAGTTTCATAACCTTCTGTTTCTGAACCCTTCGAGCCGGCAACGTGACAAACAAAAAAAATAAAAAAAGGGACCGCAGGCGGATGGTGACCGGTCAGCACTCAACTTTCCTAGAGTCCTAGACTCTGGTCTTCGGTGTCACAAGCTCCCATATTTTGAAGGTGTAAACATGTAAACCTCAAATCAATCCAACATGGATATCCAGCACCATTTGTCTTCATATGGACTGCTGTTTGGCCAATAGCTTTACCGGTTTCTCCGAGAACTCGGCATATCGTGTCAAGAATGTTCCCCTGTCTCTCGCTTTAAATACTTCCGAACTGGGCATGGGTCAAAACCCGAGGGACCCCAAACAAGCTGGTTGGTGGTATACCTACCCCTCTGAAAAATATTAGTCAGTTGGGATTATTATTCCCAACATATGGAAAATAAAATTCATGTTCCAAACCACCAACCAGAGTGTCTCTTGTTTGCCAAGCATTGAATTTTGGGGATGTGTGGCCCTACATTTTCTCGGTGACGTGATTGAGATCTCACCCGTTTTCACTTCGTATTGAACCATGGCGGACACATGAAATCAAATGTCCACTTCTCGAAATGTGTTCAAGGCAAAATCTACATATAAAAAAACCCTAATGTGGTAAACCCAATAGTAAGCCATCCCCAAAATCACCATTTTCATGGGTGCTTTTTTATAACCATCTCCAAATGGTAAAATGTTGTTATTGGGTTGCCCACATGAAAAACATGTTTGGGTGACCTTGATTCTTCCCTTTACATCAATCTACCGACATGAAATCTGCCTGAAAAAATCTCAATTCACCAAGCTGAAAATAGCCGAAACTTGACGCCATTTCAGGAGCAATGATGTTTTTTGTGAGGTCATGATCCAATTCATCGAGATTTTACATCACCACAATATCCCCATACCATAATTCTTGATCTTTAAATCATCATGTTCCATGGTTAACTCACCATGAAACCACCATTTTGTCATGGTGAAATCCAGCGTTTTCCATGGCGAAATCTCCAGCATCTGAAGGATCACCGGGCTGCAAGTCATCCAGCGCCATCCCGGCAAAGGTGGCGGGGCGACTGGGAATTCCCTGAGCTCCCACCATGGGCATCATATATCCTGCACCAAGGGCGATGGCGATTTTTCGGCCATGACTTCAGCAGCAAAAATGAGGAGAACTCATTTTAGGGTGTCAAAAAGATAGATAGCTGATGGCCGATTCGGCATATTTCTGATGTGACTCAAAAACCAAGAAACAGGATTTAGGATAGGTGGGATTAGTTTTTTTCCCAAGGGATCAATGATTATCTACAAAAAATCGTAGGTGGTAACTGGGGTTAGAGCCACTGAAAAGATGGATAATCTCCTAGGGATTTGGTAAACCAGGGTCAGCAAAACCACAGACATTGCCTCTATTTTGGATGGTAAATGTGTGTCTAATACTAATGTTTTACCCGAAACCAATGGATGTCATTCGGGGATTCCAAATGTTCAAGATTGTGGCATGGAAACTAGCGAACCCTGGGGTTCTATATCATGCATTGTAACCAAGAGCTATGTGAAGCCAAATCCCAGACATGTCTAGCCATGATGAAACTTTGATCCGCAAAACCGTTTGGCACAAGGCAGCACGGTACCCTGACCATTGAAACCATCCCTACTCTTAGACAAATGGCTATGGCATTCAGGATCAAAACCCTGGTGCCGGTCGGCTACTCTGAGATATCCTGAAGAAATGCTGTCCCTGTGTGCCATGATGATGGTACATGCATGTACATGCGGTATGGCATTACTGTACATTCCAAAATGGGAATCATATGGAATCATTGCAATGGGGCAATGGATATCTAAATGTCTATTGATGGATGACTATTCCCCTAAACCTGGGTATATAAACTCCATCCCAATATTAAACACCGCCCAGAAACCATGGTCTAATCAGGGATTTATTTTTTATACATATTTAGAGACCATTTGGAGACCCTTTAGCGAGTGTTTAATAGAAGGGGGAAGGGAACATTAGAAATTATACCCTCTGGTAATTTAACATAACTATGGAAAGATCCACCATTTTTTTAATGGGAAAACTCACTATTTCTATGGCCATTTTCAATAGCTATGTTAGTCATAACCAGAGGGTATCACCTTATCATTTTTGAGATGTGTGGCTTCTGAAACCCAAAAAAACTCCAAATGTTAGCATATATATACCATACATGGATCCTATGGGTTATATACAGTCCATCGTTTGACTCGGAGTTTGCATGTCGACTTCCTTGTCAGTCATCCCAGTCATCCCATGCGCAGGTGGCAAAGATGGACTATGGTGACTATGGCCATTGGCTGCCCCTTATACTTGCAAATCCCCCATCAAATTATGTATACCCTCCAGTAAATTAACATAGACCCTGGCAGTTGTCGGGGTTGGTTCAGATTAGTTTCCATTAAAAATTGGTGATTTTCAGGGTCAACAAGTTAATTTGCCAGAGGGTAAATTATAAGGAGGCTTATCCCCATGAAATTAATAGTATACATAGTCCATCCCCATCCCTATACTTATAGGGAGGCTTCCCCATTCCAAATCCCCATCAAAAAGACCACCTGACTTGGCAGATGTAGAATTCCCCAGATGAGCCCATCAAGATATCCCCACCGAAAAAATTCCCATATCAAATCATAAATCATCATATAGACTCAATTAGAGTCATATGTAAATCCATATTCAATGTATATAAAATCAAATAAAACCATATAAAACCATATCGAACATCCTTTAAAATCCCATAAAATCATATATAAAATTATGTGTATATATATAATCATCTATAATCATACCTACAGTATAGGATCCATGTATGGTATATATGGTAACATGGATCCCATCAATATATCCCCAATGTTAGCATATATACAAGCACCATGGATCCTATAATCGTATATCATATCAATATACTCCCGATGGTCCCGTGAAATCCGATGGTCCCATCGAGTCCCATCCCACCTTGTTGCGGCATCCGTTGCGAGGCATCGATAAAGGCCGCGGGCCCTTGAGACATCACGCCGCGCGGCTGGCCCCAGGTCACTGGCTGCCAGGGACCCACAGGGACCTCACGGCGCCAGGTCCACCAGGTCGGTTTCGCACTTTCGGGGGGATCTACTGCGCAGCCAGATCTGAATGGAATCCGCAAAACTTACGGGATTTCATGGAATTTCATGGAATTTCATGGACTTTAATGGAATTTGATCGAATTGAAATGGGATCTACTGGGATTTAACCAGATCTGAATGGGATTTGATGGGATTTGATTCGGTGACTGGTGGGGGAATATGACGAACTGACGAACAATATGTTGATAGTCATTTTTTCGTACCCACAACGTCATTCCATGAAAGATTGGTTGGGTAAGAAAAGGACTTCCAGGTCATGGATGATGACAATCCCCGGCCTGTTGGGGTGATTTGATTTTGTGATGTCCCATAGTTTGCTTGGAACTTAACCATCAAAGAAAACATATTATTAGTGTAATGAAATGAGCAACAAAAACAATTAATTGGATTGTGATTGAGATGTGTTTTTTTTGTGCTTAGGGTAAGTAGGGTGAACGCCCACTTATACATGGGGTTGTAATCTTCTTGACTCGTAGGATGAATCGCCAGGCAGATGTATATGTTCAAATGCTCCGTATTTAAGCAGGGTCCGTATATGGTAGCCATACTACAAGGCCACTACAAGGCCACTACAAGGCCACTACAAGGCCACTACAAGGAAGCTTCGGAAGTGCAGGTTGGAGCAGCTGAGCAGCCAGTGAGTGGCAGCCACAGCGCTGGGTACTTCCGGGGACTTTCTGCAAATGATAGAACCCCCCAAACATCCCCAAACCCATAGGATCTATGTATGGTATATATGCTAACATTGGGGATATATTGATGGGATCGATGATCCATGTTACCATATATACCATACATGGATCCTATGAGAAAGTGTCCTGCTTCTGACAATTGTCAGAGCGTGGTTAGACGTGGTGAATATTGAGCCAATAGGAATCCCATCCCACTACTGAACATCTCCATTCTAGCCAGTCCCAATCTATGGGTGATTTCAAGCCCAGTCCAGGCCCAAAAAAGGTCTCGATCGGGGGTGTCACTTTTAGGGGGGAAAGGATCAATCAAACATAGCACTAGGAAATCAGAAATCACGCATAGAAATTTTCCGGATTTTCCCATGAACAACCTTCATTTACTTCGGGGATTTTCCAGCCATGCCATGATGACCGGAGCCTGACCCCAAAGTTACCGGAGCCCCTGCAGCCTTTCCGGCTGGCTGAGTCGCCGTTTAAGGTTTCACAACATTGTTGGCAAGTTGAAGGAACACTTCCCACATCAGAAGTAACATACATTTACAGATGATGTTTCCACTAAAATCGCTATTTGCAGGATGTTCCCACCTAGAAACCTCCATATTTTCATCATGCAGAAATCTGGCCCGCCATGATTTTCCACCAGACTCTCCCAATGATTTACCAATAAAGAGACCCAGCCAGCCGTGCTGGCTTTTTGTCGCTTCCGGTTGTCAAAAAATGTATAGGTTATGATAGATTGGGGTCTCTGAAAAAACTCTTGTGAAATAGGTGATTAATGTTTTCCAAAATCCGATGATATCTTACTAAGAACCAAGATTTGGATGGGTTTGTCACATTGCGTAACCTGAGTCCTAATGGAATAAAACCTCATCTCTGCCAACCACTTTGAGGTATACCTAATTTGTGAATCCCAAAGTTTCATATTGTTGACACATCCCACTATATCCCATCATATCCCCATCTTTACACCGTAATACGAAACGCCATGTTTTTTCAATCTGGAACCTTAAAAAATCATCATCTTCCAAGCGCAGAAAAATTAAAAGATTAAGGGGTTCCAGCTTGAATTTAGCCTTAGACAACCACCGTTCTTTTAATAGGTAAATCCATGTATTTCTATGCTCCATTTTTGCCATAGCCATTGTTGAATTGCCGTGGGCCATCTCGGCTATGCGGCTATATCATCTGGCCGGCCCAAATCCCATCTCCCATGAAATTCAACTCGTTAACCCATCAAAATCCCCTATAGATGTCCATCAACTTCCAAGAAATCCCATGAAATCCCATGGTGTTTTCTCAATTTCCCATCAAATCCCATGAAATCAGTATCAAATCCCATGGTGTTTTATCAAAATTCCCCAAAATTTAAGGGACATGTTAGACATGTTCATGAAAATCCCGAAATGTCCCACAAATCCCATGGAAATCCCCATGGAAATCCCCATGGAAATCTTTCGATGTCTCACCATGGCACGGGCTGCATCTGTCCATTGGCCGGCCCCATCATGGCACCAAACGACCCACAGGAGCCACAAGGTCCAGCAACCGGACCGTTGGGACCGTTGGGCGCGCCCATCATCACTGGAGCCTGTGCGCCTGGCACAGTTCTTGTCCATGGTTTTTGGTTCATATCATCATAGTTATATGATGTAGTTCTATAATTAATTATAGTTATATCACAAATTTCATATATATATATATACATATTCAGCATAGGCATAAGTATAATATATATATATACATATGATGATAAGTTTTTCGTTTAAACGTCTTTATAGTAAGTTTTATCATACCTATGATGTCACATTACTTACTAACATCAGTTGTTCTTTGTTGATATCATCATAAGTAGAAGATCTTAACTTATAGAATTATATCAATTATATCACATGTTTCAAATAGATTATGATGACATATGATGTTATATAAATAGAGCCACATATTTCACATATAATTGTATATGATGTTAAATATATCTATATGATGTATAGTAATATAACAATATCATATATGTCATATAGATCCATCTGTGTTATAAGATGGTACTTATATAACATAACCATTATGAAAATAGAAATTCAAGGTCCCTATCATATTATTGATATATATATATAGGATATGGATGGCCATGTTGATCCATTTTCTGGTTGGTGGTATTCCTACCCCTCTGAAAAATATGAGTTCGCCAGTTGGGATTATGAAATTCCCAATATATGGAAAAATAATCTTTATGGATCCAAACACTGTCTGAGAAGGTACTTAACCCTCCAAATCATACCCCAAACACTTCCTAAGAAGGAACTTGGATCCATAGGGAGAAAATGTATGTTCCAAACCACCAACCAGTGATATTCTCCCATTATTAACCATTATCAACCATTATTAACCATGATTGACCAGGATGATCCCATATATTAATGGAAAATCAACCATATTATCCAAATTATTAACCATATATTCTCCCAGTTATCCATTATTAACCATACTTATAAATTATGGAAAACCACCAACGAGTTTTTCTATGGAACCACCCCGCCTGGTGCTGCTGGCCCCGGCCCCTGCGGCCCCTGCGGCCCCTGCGGCTGCGGCTGCGGCGTCGGCGGCGACTTGGCGTTGCCACGGGCGCGGCCGGTGCTACGAGGCCTGGGTGGCACTGGGGAAATGGAGAAAACATGCGAAAAGCCAGGAGAAAAATGGGTCATTAAATGTCCCCATTGAACATCACCCAACCATTAGGTATATGGTCTATCATGGCTACTATAAGGTGATGTGGTATATGGTATATTACTGGTATATGGTACATGGGTATGGATCAATACCTATTAATACCATTTCTAGGGGAATGAACATCCATAAATCCCAGCTATTTTGATGTGAACTACAGGGGTACAAGGTTTTGACACACTGCCAAATGACTGGAAATTAATTGGAACATGGTGATTTATGCTTAAGAACATGATTGGAACATGGTGATTTAAAGACTTTTTTGGTGAAGTTGGTAAGTCCAATAACTATAGGCTTTATGGATCTTTATGGTAAATATGTAAAAGTCTAGTTCATGAGGGTTCTGAACCACCTCAAAAAACTATGGGGGGTGCCAAATCTAGAGGTTTATCAGTATCCTATTTAAGTACCTGCATATTATGGATGTAAGTATTCTTGATCGGCATCTTTCTTAATAGTGGCATTGTGTACGTTTTAAGCAGAAATTGTGAACTATGTTCACCAAGAATGATGGGCGTCAGAATCGACTTCAACATGGATACGACACGACTAAATCAATGGCTGTGGTACCTCATTCATTGGGGTACCTAAGAGTACCGAATTTGTTGTCTCATGATCTACAAATCAACGGTACGAACGGGTTCACAATCAGCATCAAAAAGGGCTTCATCCAATGGCATCTTGTCCAGTAAACAAAGTGGTGTTGGGGTCACTAACATCCAAGGTATATCTCAAAAATGAGAGAAAATTCTAGTAATTTCTTACCGAAAACATGCTATGCGAAGATTTTCTGAATCTGGGTAGGTTCTAGAATCAACCATCTACCCTCTGGTAATTTAACATAGCTATGGAAAATCACCATGTTTAATGGGAAAATCCACTATTAATGGCCATTTTCAATAGCAAACTGTTAGACATAACCAGAGGGTAAACCATCCCAATCCAGCGCTTCGGTCCAGGCGCTTCGCTCCTCCCTTGGCGCGGTTCTCTCGCCTGGCCGCCGCGCGCGAGGCCTTCTCCACCGTGCCGGAGGGCTTCTCAAGACCTCGGATTTTTTTGGTGAAATCCTTTTGTTCAAGCTGCACCAGCAACTAACCATGGGCAAACAAGAAAATTGGATGGTTCCTATAGATATATTATATATATATATATATGGTTCTATTATGTATATATATATATATATATACAAACCTATAAATAATAACACTGATGGTTCTATTATGTTCTATCTACTTCTGTCTACATCAGATTGTCTGAAAATAGGCCAATCACTTTCCCAAAATCCAGGAAGGATCATCATGTTACCCATTGGAATGGCCACACCAAAGCTGCGACTTATGCCATGCTGCCGTGGTGTTGGTAAAGCTGCGCCACTGCGTCTAGGGCGTTACCTACCCATGGGCAGGGGAATCGATACCAAACAGCAAGCAGTGTTAAGTAATGTTAAGTCAATCTTCCAAATGGATCCAAATGGGACATTTACCAACCCCTTGTCGAAGATGTCATGGCAGGCAATGGATGAAGGGCGTCTCTGAAGACTTGGTCTTTTTTTCGGACCCAGTAAGCCTTTCAATCTGCCAACATGTCACCTTGAGAAACAAAGTTGTGTAAGACACGTGAAGCAAAGCTTGGAAACACGGGTTTCTATGTTTTTGTCTATTTGGGTGCGTCTGAAACTAGGGTGGTGCGCCTGAAAAAAGGGTATACCCCCATTCAAACAACAATTTGGGAACATAATGAATAAGCAGTCGCTTTGGGGAGTTGTTCCATGATTTTTCCCCCATAGTTTTCCCATAGTTTTCCCACAATTTCCAACTACCTTAGCATAATCTGAGCATGTTGCCACATTTCGCCTGGTAGCCGAAGCCCCAAGCTTCTTCGGTTAACCCTTCCTTTGTAGCCATTCCGCTGGTAGAGCCGTAAGAAAATACCTGAGCCGTAAGAAAATTGGCAGAAAGTCAGATTCGCCCGAGATCAAACACAAAGCATCAGCATTTGGCGTTCCGCAGTTCCATTAAGCACTCATCAGTTTCTTGAAGTGAACTCGTCATCCCGAATTTTGGCGGAAAATCCCGAGGCAAAAGCTTGATGTGTATCTTGAAAAAACGATTTTTATCATTAAAGATTTAAAACACCAGTGAAATACTGAAATGCTATGAGGGGAGTATGTTATCTTTAACTATTTCCTTCACACCAAGAGATCTAAGAAATTAAACATTATAGAAAAGGGCGAATAGTACAGCCCTTTCAAAAATAGCGATGAAGTTGACTTTTTTTGTTCAACATGAACATGGACCATACCCCAGACCCAGCCCAGAGGCTATGCGTGATGGAGGAGGGTTTCATCCCCGCGTTGGCCATTTCGGCGAAGAGCCCCACGCCCGCGGAGAGATCCTCAATGCTGCACGAAAGATGCAAAAAACATCAAAATGTTGGGGTGCCCAGGAAATTAAATAATTAATATATATGTATATATGTTCTGTTATATACTAGTTGTATGTATATATATATAAGTAGTTATATTTATATGTATAGAAAATAGAGATTCTCAACTAGTTTGACAATGATTCTCTGTTCCTATTTTTGAGGGGAACATTGTCAGTTGTGCTCTGAAGATGCCTTAACCAGCCCAAAGGATGAACTGTTTAAAGACAACAGTAGCAAGTCATAGACAGACAAAATGGATCAAAATGGTACCCTTTGGTTATTCAACATAGCCATGAAAAATCATAACTTTTAATAGGTACATCATCGAACTAAATGGGTCATTTTCCATAGCTATGTTAAATAACCAGAGGGTGGATATACTATAACCTTAAACGAAAGGATTTGTGAACCACAAAATGTTGGCATCGAACCAGCAGTGATTTCAGAATCTTTCAGCCAGCGAATTTCAACTTTGCACACCCACATAAGAACTGGATGATTATTGCTTGCTTGCCTCAGTTTGGTTGGCAAAGAATGTAAAGGGCGCTCTGTGACCACCGTGCTTTGGAGACAAATTCTTGCCAATCTCCATCTTAGACTGTTTCAGAACAAGAGGTCCCAGATGTGCTGACCAATTTTTTCGCTAGTTCTGTGAAGATTTTTTAGCAACATTTGTTTGATTTTACCTATTGATTTTAAGGACATTTTCCACATGTCATATCAAACTACCAGAGGGTAAAAATCATGGTGTATACTTATATATACAGTATATAATTAATCGATAAACACTTTTTTTAGCGACCGTCAACATATACAATGGCCATGGTATGCATGTTGATTCCACCAAAGAAAGACCAGAAGGCAGCTGCGGGTCATTCGCTTTCACGCAGCCGTCCATCAGTGTGTTGTAGACCAATTCATCGCATTGCATACCACATGCCTGCGCTCCGCTGGGAACCGAGCCCGAGTTGATTCACAACGATTCACAACGATCCACAACGCATTGCCCAGTGGAGACATTGGGACAACGAACATACAATTTATCATTAGACATTGCAGCAGTCGCCCAAAATCCCAGTTCATGGATTATGAAATTTGATTATGATATATTATGATTATTCCCAATACCCTCTGGGAAACTAACATAACTAACTATGGAAAATCACCATTTTTCATGGGAAAATCCACTATAAATGGCCATTTTCAATAGCAAACTGTTAGTCATTACCAGGCCGGGTATATTGGGTGATCGCTAATATCATCATCACCCAACTGTGGTTTTGTTTTGAGTTCCCGGCCTTGATGGTGGCTGCAACATGGAGAGCTTTGTCCAAATCACCCACTTGGCAGTAGCCTTTCAACAAGGTGGAGTAGGTGATGAGGTCCGGCTGTACCTCAATACATCTCAATACGCGTATTGCTCCCGTGGGAGCGCCCAATATGAGGCCAGGGTATGGGCCGGTGGAAGACGGAGGCAGGTCTACCATATAATCCATGTATATATATACACACACACATATATATATATATATGAGCCGGTCCCCGGACCCCCACACCCCCCCCCTCCCCCCCCAATGGTATCCCCCCCCACTCCTAACCCCCCCCACCCCCCCAAAACCTAGTATTTGCATGTTATTTGCACATATACATACACATATACACATATATACTCCCCTTTCCACCCCTCCACCCTCGCATCTCTACGTTATTTGCAGCACTTGAGAGCCACGACCTCGTCAACGGACCTTGTCTACCTGTATATTTCTATCATAACCTTTTTTTCGAACCGCCTATAGCGTGCCTCGCACATGGTTTACAACATATTTGCTACCTATGATTACCTATGGATTACGCAAAGCTTACCTATGCAAACCTAGACATATGTACAGTAGAAAAACAATAAATACATATATATATATATACATGCACATTCTAGATACTACAGATTGATATCTTGATATTGTATCTATCACATATTTCGTTTACATTGTACATACTGTACACGTATATATGTATATGTCATGTATATATATGCATATATATACATATATATATATACATAAACTCTAGATATACAGCGTGTATTGCTGTCGATATTCAATATACCACATATACTATGTAAAATTTATTCAACGAACATATTTACCTATATTGTATATATTACATCTACTGTGGATACAGTACATGTCATATACTATCTATATTCTATCAAAAACCACATATACGATGTAGATATATATATATATATGTTCAATATATATATATATATATATGTTCAATATATATATATATATGTCAAATATATATATATATATATTATATATAGATTGCATATATTCTATTTATATCTTACATATTATATATATATATACACTACACATACACTCTATATTACATATAGTATATCCATTCTAATTATCGATACATATGCATTATATGCACTATAAAGACTACATACACCATGGCTTGGCTGCTGAGAAAACCGCCCCTCCCCTGCCACAGGGGGGGGGGAAACATCTGGCTGGGGGGGGGGGGGGGGTGTGGGGGTCCCTGCTCATATATATACATATCATATATATATATACCAGCAGAGATTTTAATATGGCTGTTAAGTGCAACCAGTTTACATGGCCAAATTACCATCTGGTTATTTAACATAGCTATGGAAAATCCATTATAAATGGAGGTTTTAATGGGAAAATCATCTGTAAATGGGCCGTTTTCCATAGCTATGTTACTGTAAATAACCAGAGGGTATACCAATTGTCACGTGAAAATGGGAAGTGTCCAGTATCAATTCATGGAAAATCCATCTGTGAACGGATGATTTGCCAGCGGTGATCATTTCTCGATGCTCATGATGTATCCCCAACACTGATGGCTCCAGTTGCGAAATCACGTGATCAGGTCATGCATTTCGTTGGATGACACCAGGATTCGTTGGATTTTCTTTAGGCCATTCCCTAGCTTGCCCAGTGCCCAGTCCACATTCGGACACAAGTGTCTGGGCTATGATCGCTCATCATCTCCTGAAAAGGGCGACTCGCAAGTGCATGCAAGTGCCGCATGTGGAAAATACTACCGGCAATGATCAGCAATGTATGCTGGCAGTGGGTACCCCGTTTCGATTCCGGTCTTCCAGAGGTCCCGTTTTTGCTTCATGACCCATACGATCCATGTATCCTATATATGGTAACATTTACCATCACATCAATATATCCCAAATGTTAGTATACCATACATGGATCCTATGGGTGATGGAAACCAAAACAGGAACCCAGCGGCACCAAAATATGAGGATTCGTCAATTTTAGTCTGGTCTTGACTGAGACTTCCAATCGTCATCGCAGGGCCAGCCCACCTTTCAGAAAACGGATTCCTTCGGATAATCTTCACCTGTGATGATAAAAAATACTGTGGTAACTCACCATGCCTAGCGGAGGGACTGGTTACACTTATGCGAGGATTTTGATGGATCAAAATCCTGCAAGAATGGACGGATATTTTTCCAGCACGTATGTTTATGTGGTATGTTTATCAGATTCTCAAACCTCCGCTTCTGAAATCCATTGAAATCAAAGAACTGACAGCCCAAAACTTGCAGTGTCCAACACTCAAATCATCTTCAATTGCCCTTTTTTATACATATTTTTATATACCCTCCAGTAAATTAACATAGACCCTGCCAGATAGGGGTTGCAAGACTAGTTTCCACTATAAATAGGTCATGTTCAGGGTCTATGTTAAATTACCAGGGGGTAATGTATTCATATTCAAATCAATGTGTATGTTTATCTGGTCGCTGGTTTCAGTCACCCGCCCGATACAGTCACTTGGGATCATGATCGATGAGTGACATGTTTTTCAACATCTAAGCATACTTGAAACCACCAACCTCTTATGATAACTGGCTATAAAACTGGAAACAATGCGGTTTTAACATGTTTTAACCACCAACAATCATCCATATCCAACATCTATGAACCAGCATTTTTTCGCCTATTGAAACAAGACATCTATGAAACCGTCCTAACGAGTTTTCAAACATAACGCTGGCGTCACGTCACTCGCGTTTCGTCCTGGAAGAAGTCTTCCGCCTTTCCGACGTCACCGCACTTGATACACACGTCCTGGCCGTGGCGGATTCCAAGGGATGAGCTGAGCAAAAAGCAGAATTGGTACCCTCTGGTTATGGTGATTCTACTATAAAACCATAGGAAAATGGTGATTAATAATGGTGGTTTAATGGTGATCAAATGGGACTTACCCTCTGGTTATGTCAACATAGCTATTGAAAATGACCATAGAAAGTTCGTGGATTTTCCCATGAAAAATGGGTGGATCTTTCCATAGCTTTTTTGTTAACGTTTACCAGGCCGGGTAACTGTTGGTGTAACTGACCACTTAGTATGTTCCAATAGTACAGAAAAATCATCATCTATTCAGATTAGTTGTCTTATCTTGAATTCGCGAGCAAGGAAGCCTTAAAATATATAGAAATATATATATATATAGTTGTATCATGTTATATAGAATATTCCCTATAGATTCCCCAAGGAGTGGATTTCTCTTTGGGAAAATATACAAAAGAAAACATCTGCAGCCATTTCAGATTATGTTTATGTTTCATGAACATCCACATGTTTGCTGGCGACGTTCAAGATATCCTTCTCTTCATCAGTTCTTGACGTTGAACATCAGGCATCTTAACTATACTTATAATTTAGCAGTGTTCTACTTTGGTCTTCTTTATTGAAACCCTAGGAACACACACATCCGACACAGACAAGCAGCTATATGAAGACTGGATCCTTGATGTCCTAGAAAAGTCATATTCATTCATATTCCGATTTACGAACCTACAAATCACCATTTGGTCTATGAGTCCCGCTGCAGTCGATTGAAGGGTAGCCAATCAATGGATGTGGACATTGATCATGACTCAACAGGCCCTGGGTTCCCAACCCCAAGGGATGTGCAGTCCGATAGTCCACTATACTACCCTCCGGTCATTTATCATAGCTAATGGTATAGATGCCCCAATTTAGTTCGATGAATTTACCATAATTTACCTATTAAAACCATGGTCTGTTTCCATACGTTCTGTTCTGCTTCGGTGCAGCAGAGGCACGATGATGGAGTTGTAGGCGATGGTGTTGTAAGGAACGCCTTCGTTTCTCATCTCCCGAAACAACATGATCGCGGTGCTGAGGTCCTTTTCGTTCCCATAGCCCTTGATCCTGCAGCTTCAGGATTCAACGACTATGTGGTGGTTACTTGCAGCACTAACCAATGGTTGAAGCTAGTACATGTTGATTGGGCCCCCCTAGTCCATTCTTATATCTATATCAATCACAGTATTTGAATGATGACAAGTCTGACAAGTTGCCAAGCATCTACTATCAGACTAATATACTCATAGTTTCACGAATTCTCGTACAATTTTGCTGCATCCTATCCCAACCCATTCAAGGTATCCAGCAAAGCCGAGGGTCAGCGTGGTGTAGAGGATGGTGTTGCACTGCTTGTGTCTCTTCTGCATGTCACGGAAGATCTGCAGCGCTTTTTCCTAACGCAACGCGAAAATGGGCGACAACGGGGATTTCGTGACTTCGGATGGCGCCAAAAAACTGGAAGATCTGCAGCGCTGTTTCCCGAAAAATGACAACTGTCAAGGGATTAGGCAAAGGTACCCTCTGGTTATGTCAAAATAGCTATTAAAAATGGCCCATTTATAGTGAACTTTCCCATTAAACATGGTGATTATCCATAAGTTATGTTAGTTTACCAGGCCGGGTATGTTGAACGCGCTGGCTCAGGCTGGAATCCAGAGATTCAACTGCGCAAATTCTTCATCCGTCGTGAATTTTTTTGAAGCCTCTTCCAGGCGATCTAAAGCCAGTGGCAAATCCCCAAATTTCTACTTAACATCAACATTCAAAGAAAATATGGACATGTTCCATATTTAGCCATCAAAGCACAAAAAAAAGCTTTTGGGCAAGGAGTTTGGTTTTTCGCGGCATTGTTCCTTTCCGACCAGGCCTATCTATTGATGCCTACCAGGCCTATCCTTCAGATCCGGATCGAAACCACCAACGGCCGGGATTCGGTCTGGCTGCACTTGACGCAGGCGTTGATCATGCAGCCATAGGTCACGGCGTTGGCCTGTTCCCTTTGTTCCTTCATGTCGTCCTCAGAAACGTTCAGAGGAATAAGATTCTATTTAATAGGACTAATGGTTAAATCCAATGGTTAAATCCAGATTCTATCCAATGGTTAAATCCAATGTTCAGAAACATTGGCTAAGAGGAATAAGAAGGAGGACGTCACCAAGATGTTCAACGATCAGAATGATAATAAATGTATAACATTATGTAACATAATTAATCATAATTGTATATCCCATAGGATCCATGTATGGTATATATGATATATGCTAACATTGGGGATATATTGATGGGATCCATGTTACCATATATACCATACATGGATCCTATGGGTATTAGAGTTTGTCTGAAGATAGGCTACCCCCCAAATTCACAGTGCATCACCACTGTTCAGTGGCCATTTTTTTGCCATCCGAGGCACCCAAAGTTGCAGGACCTTTTTGATATCGCAAACTTGGCCGTAAGCCTCGCCAAGTTTGATCCACCGGAACCAGGATGATCCCATGATTTTTACGATGGAAAACCACAGAAAAAATGGAGCGGTTGGATAAACCATGTTTGAGTCAATGTCGGGGATGTTTATGGTCCAATTTGAGATGTCCAGATACTTCAAAAGCCTGGGTTTTCTGCTACTAGAAAGTCAAAAACTGTGAGCTGTTTTGTGAAAATACCCCACGTCGTGCCACTTAAACATCCACAAAGTAGTATTAGTGAATCTCAAGTTACCCTCTGGTAAACTAACATAGCTATTGAAAATGGCCATAGAAATAGTGGATTTACCCATTAAAAATGGTGATTTTCTATAGCTATGTTAAATTACCAGAGGGTAATCATCCCAAGTATGGTTGAAGAAGAATACATAGTTGAAACCCCCAACCAGTAGTTTCCTTGCAATTGGTATCCTCTTCTCACGAAACGTGGCTTGCAGGAGGTGGGAGCATGTCAGCATGACAGCATCACTGGCTCTATGGAAGTTGGTATCGATTAAGAATCATGGAATCTGTCTGACCCTGAACATATATATATATATATATATTTATTTTAGGGTTTAGGTTTTTCGATATATGTATATATGTATATAGGTAATTAGAAGTTAATCATAACATCTGGTTGGTGGTTTCAACTCCTCTGAAAAAATATGAAATTCAGTTGGGATGATGAAATTCCCAATATATGGAAAATCATAAAATTCATGTTCCAAACCACCAACCAGATATAATGTTATGTATAGAAACTTGTGCCATGTCAACGTTATGGATTTGATCGAAACTTGATTGGTTTTCCCCGGCCTTGACGAGGATTCCCAAGGTCACGTGAGAGGCTTCCACACCCAAGTCCTTCATACCTAGGCATCAGGGAGGGCCATGATGGCCATGGCCATCATGGCCCACAACCATCACTGGTGAAAAATTACCAGTTTCCATCGCTGTCGTCATCTTTATCGATTTCTTTCCAATGTTCATGGGTTTTTTTTACACAGCATTCATCCCCATTCTTCGTCGAAAATTCCAGCTGTGTTTCTGGAGGATTTTTTTTCTCCAAAACTGTACCTCCACAGAAGCCATCTTTTTCTCAAAGCCAGTGTTGATCTAAACAGCCCAGCTACAAGAGAAGGATAGATAGATTAGATTAGATTGGATTAGATTAGATTGGATTGGATTAGATTAGATTAGATTGGATTGGATTAGATTGGATTAGATTGGATTAGATTGGATTAGATTAGATTGGATTGGATTAGATTGGATTAGATTGGATTAGATTGGATTGGATTTGATTGGATTGGATTAGATTGGATTGGATTGGATTGGATTAGATTAGATTGGATTCGATTAGATTAGATTAGATTGGATTGGATTAGATTGGATTAGATTGGATCAGATTGGATTGGATTAGGTTAGATTGGATTGGATTGGATTAGGTTAGATTAGATTGGATTGGATTGGATTGGATTGGGTTAGATTGGATTGGATTGGATTGGATTAGATTGGATTGGATTGGATTAGATTGGATTGGATTGGATTAGATTAGATTGGATTGGATTAGATTGGATTGGATTAGATTGGATTAGATTGGATTGGATTAGGTTAGATTGGATTGGATTAGGTTAGATTGGATTGGATTAGATTAGATAGCTAGCTAGATAAATAGATACAGTAGACGTAGAATAACCCATTGGTTCCCCTTGTGGCTATCATTTACCCTCCCTTTAACCGTTCGAGCCCAGCAGAAATCACCGTTCACCTCACCAGGGAACGTTGGTACGTCGACTCGAGCCTGGAGATGTCCTTTGTCCGGGAATGGGTGTCCAACCTGAGGAATTGAGAGCTGAAAAAAATGGGGAGAGTCTTTTGGATAGTGGAAAAAACTAAAAGTACAGTGGATATCAGTGAAAAACATCCAAAGCTCCTGATAATAATTGGGAGTTTTTTGGATCTTTTTTGGGGGATCAACATGACTATTCATCATCTCGGGGACACAGCAGGAGCGACTCTGCCGTCACTGATCTAGCCTGTGCATTCGAAGTGTGACCCCAAGCTGTTGGAAAGAAAGAAGGAAAGGAGGAAAGGAGGATAGAAAGAAAGGAAGGAAGGAAGACAGAAAATGAATCAGCTACCCTCTGGTAATTTAACATAGCTATTGAAAATTGTGATTTATAGTGGATTTACCCATTGAAAATGGTGATTTTCCATAGTTTTTTGTTAACGTTTACCAGAGGCTACTGCAATAAAAGTCACCATAACTGAGCCAATGGTCATTGCTGAACGGCAATAATCCATCCCAATTGGGAATTCCCATCCCGAGCTAAAAACTTGGTAGATCATCCAATTTTTCATACCCGAGGTTATGAAGTTTAAAATCCTTCATATCCCCATTATATAATGTCCTATGTAAATCGCCATTTTTCATGGCAAAAAACTCGTACATCTTGATACCTTATGGTACTATCTTCCCTAAAATAATCCCCGGATTTTTTTTAACCATCTGTAAGGTGTTGATTTCGCTGGCCCATCCAGGATGTATCACCACATGTTTCATGTCACTGTTGATGGTTACCCTCTGATTTTTACCAGCATCTAATATAGTCATCTATTTCTATGGGCCATGTTCCATAGCTATGTTTTTAAAAAAAAACAGAGGCTAAATCACCATGTTTCATGGTTAAATCCACCATGAAAAACCCTCGTGTTTGATCCTTAAATCCACCATTTTGTTGGATCATTTTTCATGGTTAACACTAAACCATGGTTTTTGCACACCATGTTTCCCCAGCATATTTTCCATGCTTAAACCAATGCCATCCAGTGACATTGCGTTGAAGAGCACCTCATCAGCTTCCACTGGCTGCTGCCTCAGCGTCAAGAGATCAGGCAGCCAGAGATAGCTGCTATAGGATTATATATACAGTATGTATATACCTATTGTACACCTATATAGTGAATTATAGCCATACAAAAAGATTAATGGGATTATAAATTACATAAACCATTGGATATAAAGGTATTAATAGGTATAAATATAGGATCATTTTAATATAGGATATAATAGCCATTATGTTTTTGTAGTAATCCCTTTGTATAATGAATTATTGTGAATTCACTAAAAACTATACTAAATTATAATAATACACTTATTACATACATATATATATCAGTTGGATACACATATATATATACACATATTATACAATATACTGTATAAAATATAATATAGATATATATATATATATAATAATTAATAATATATAATAATATATATATATGTAATAATATCATATATAATATAATATAATATATATATATATTATTATATTATTTACCTTAGACCCGTGGTCCCAGGTCATCGTCCAAGCTGCTGGACAAACTGCTCCACCAGGGCGATAGATCGATTGATCTTCACCTACGGGCCAAGTCACATGACCGGCGGCCCTCAGACGGGAAACTTCAGCAAACTAACAGTGATTCTACTATAAAACCATAGGAAACAAAATGGTGATTTAACCACTATAAATCGTGATTTCATGGTGATTTAATGGTGATTTAATGGGTTAACAATGGTGAATAATGGGATGATATGGGATTTATCCTCTGGTAATGACTAACAGTTTGCTATTGAAAATGGCCCATTTACAGTTGATTTACCTATTAAAGATTGTCATTTACCTACTAAACTCTAATACGGTAATTGATAACAATCATGACTTATAGCCATGACTTATTGATTGTTATTGTCATTAGGTTTGTACCACTACATAATGATTGTTAATGATGTTTAATTGTTTAATTGTTAGGATTATGATTAATTGTGGTTGTTTAATCACCTAATGATGTTTAAATAAAATTAACAATGATGTCATATGGTTTAAACCATTGTCTAATGACTTTTGACCTAATGACTTAATGGCAATAACAATCAATCACCTAATGATTCATCATTAATTACCTAATTATTCTAATGATTGTTCATTAATTGTTGTTTAATCACCTAATGACAATCCTAGCCTATCCTAGGGCCAATCATACTCCTACCATTTTTTGGGAGGATGTGTTGTTGAATTGTTTAATCACCCATGTATGTTACTGGTATGTACTGGTCATATTGGGATGTGTTGTTCTTATTGGGTTTATGAAATTAAATAATAAACGGTGTGTTCAAGTCCAACGTCTTTTTTACATGTTTCTTCGAGTAGGAAAGCAACACTTCAGAGTACATACTCCTTATACATAGATAGTGTATATTATATATAATATATTCTGATACAAATTTCGGGAGTTCATACCCTTCAAACAACTGGGGTTCCATGTTGCCATGTAAAAATCCGAATCATGTTGAACAACGCTGGAAATCACAGCTGATTTGGGGCTGATGATTGGACCCAAGGATGCTTTGATGGGCCATGGGGTTTATATATATAATTACACAAGTTCACTGATGTAGTCAGTGGGGGGTGTACCCTATTCTACCAAGACAATGAATTAAAAAGATAAATCTGTTGGTTAGAAGTTCTTCTATGATGAAACCAAACTCTTGGTTGTTCAAATGGGTTTGTTGTTTTAAGCCAAATTCTCAAGCGGATTGAATTCCATGTCCGAAAAACAGCAATAAACAGCTCACGAAAATTTTCTTTGAAATCCATCCATTGAAACCCATCGTTTTGCTGCTTGAAAAATATGAGTCAATGGGAAGGATGACATCCCTTTTTTATGATGGAAAATAACATTCATGTTTGAAACCGCCAACCAGTCTATAATCTACACTCCTATTAAAATGTGTTGGTGCTTTGGAACATGTTTTTCCACATATTGGGAATTATCATCCCAACTGACGACCTCATATTTTTCAGGGGGTAGGTTGAAACCACCAACCAGAAAATGGATAACTGGGGGCACCCCCAGTTTACACAACGGAACAACCGCGACTTCCGCGACTGGACTGGGGACCAGATCCCAGGTCCGTCTGCCGTCTGCCAGGGTCCGCATCAACATCCGCGAGACGGTGAAGCGGTCCGAGGGAAGGCCGGAACGCATCATGTCCTGGTTGAATTGTGATAAGATATGATGGCTGGTAGACCAATATTGCCAATAGCATATATTAATATATATAAATTAATTAATATACATAGATCATTATTCAGAAATGCTAGTCTATTTATGATAATATGATATCCATATGATTAGATTGTATGATATGATAAGTAGTATGGATGAATAGGGCTGGTAGATCAATTTTCCTGGCTGCCTGGCTAGGTAAGTCATCAATGTACTTGGGATGATGCCGATCTGGATGTAGTGAAATTCACTACAAGAAGGAGAAAGCTGGAAAATGTTCACTAGAAAATTGTAGTGATATCCCCATAGGCCAATGTACCCTTTGGTAAACTAACATAACTATGGAAAATCACCATTTTTAATGGGAAAATCCACTATAAATGGTCATTTTCAATAGCTATTTTGACATAACCAGAGGGTACTCCTTATGGATGAAATTCACTAAGCTGGAAAATTTTAGATATCCATAAGGAGTAAGGCCAATGGGGATGATTCCCTTAATTTTTAATCATTCCAGGGATCTCTCGCAGTCGTTTTTTGCGTTCTGCAGATGGTTTGATCTAAGGGAAGATTCTCAGGAAAACACCAGATTATACTGGTTGGTGGTTGAGCCCTACCCCTCTGAAAAATGATGGAGTTAAAGTCAGTTGGGATGATGACATTCCCAATATGATGGGAAAGTCATAAAAAAAATCCATGGTTCCAGTCAGCACCAACCAGACATATATTAGCAACAAGAAATATGGAGGTTTCCCAAACTGGGGGATCCCCAAAAAACTACTGGAAAGCTTGGGCATGCCGTTCCAAACCACCTTGGCGCAGTATGTGTCTTTTTTGAACCAAACAGTGACCAACATACCGACTGGACCTTGGAGGAACCAATGATTAGCGTAACTTGGATTAAGTTGGAAAATTGGAAAATGTCATGGGGAGAGACATTTGAGAAATATTACAGATGTAGACATTTGAGAAATGTTCGCCTTAGTCAAAGATGAATACATGTATTGCAAAAAAAACATAGGGATTGATCCAAACCAAGCACATTAATGGTAGTTAAACCACTAAATAATAAGGGAATTGCAGTAACCACTATAGAAATAATCAATCTACGTCTACAACCCTATCTGGGGGTGTAAAAGTAGCGTTGCCCAAGTGCTTCAAAAGATGTATCCCATCAATGTAGGTTTCCCTGCCGTCTTCAATTTGTTGTCTTTATATCCATAACAAAATATAGATAGATTTAAATAAATATATCGTTTCTACTGATTAAATTGCCTCCTTGTTTGTTTGTCACAACTACGGACCCTGCTCCCAGCTACAACTGATTTAGCCAATGGGCCTACAGCAAAATACTTGGCTGCAGTGCCCATCTGCTGGTGAAATCGTGTTTTTTGTCGGTATGTAACCTGCTATTGTTTCGTCATTCTTCAGTGCTCCAGAAAATATCACTATATGTCAGTAGTCAAAAGAAAATCACAGTACATGTTACGTACATATTACAGATATATTATAATATATCATATACACATATGATCACATATGTAGGCAATTTGATCAAACAACACATACTGATCTTTGTTGGTTTATGTTGCTCCCCGTTCATCACCATAATCATCAAATATCATCAAACTGATTGGCCAACGTAAAACCCCCCTAGCATCCCAACATCATTGCTACTTGTCTATGTATTATATATATATATAATTTATATATAAACCCAAGAAATCCCCGTAACGAAAATACAATAAAACCACGAAATAACCCAAGAAAACCCCAGAAATATAGGTCAAAAAGTCCAACACCAAATCCCCAAGAGTCATCCACCACCACCACCCCCCGGTTCCACCCCCAGGCCTCCAACGCGTCCCAGGCTGCGTCCACGCCCCGGCGCCGCATCAAATCCTCCAGCTGCGACACCGGCGCCGTGCCTCGCCGCGCCTCCTCTCCGCCTGGGAGGATGTGGATGTTTCTGAGACAACAAGATATCTACAAGATATCCATATAATATATATATATATACATATATATATATCATATGTATATATATACACTCAAGGTTTGAGTTCGGATTTTTTGGGTGGTGAGAAAATGGGATATATCATGATATATCTTGGGAGAAGTCGGGCTTCCCACATCGTTCCCATGGCGCCAAGGGGCTTCCACGTTGCTGTCCCCGGCGGCCCATGGCGCACCCGCTGCACAGCACCGCCGGGCGGGCCGCGGTGAGACGCTGTAGGTATTGCTTGGGACAGATGGGTGACTGGTTGTGGTTATAGGATTTTCTATGGGATATCTCTGGGATAAAAATTTGAATATCTATATCTAGAATTATCATGAAATATCTAGATATCTATGGTTATGACTAGAGTTCTGGTTGCAACGTCACTTTCAAATCAGAAAAAAGTCGTCGCCAGTCACTGGCTTAGTCTTGCCAGGATTCTGCGGCAGATGGCGGGCCATCCATGTGACTTGGAAAGACATGTGACATCTGCATTGGCAACGCATCGCGTGTAAAATAGCTTCGCGACTTCGATCACCCTCCAGATTGCCAGGCGTGGAATTGGTGAATCTTTGTACACAAGGCATCATCATGGGAAGAGCTTCAAAAAACAGGAGCCATATTAGCACCGGTGATATGATGATGTCACCAAAGTCGTTCCATCATTTATAATCTTTTATATATTTCATATGGAGATTTCTCCAATAAAGTCATGGGGCTACCCATAGTTATCATCCATTTTAGATTGGGATTTTCCCATAGAAAAAAACCAACCAGCGTTCTTGGGGTAGGCCCCATGACTTTCATCACCAGCCGGGAGAGAGAAGCTGTCACTGGGTGGTTCCCAAAAAAGCTATAGGATCCATGATCCAAAGATCATTAAATATGTGATCCCATATCTGGATATGCTTCATAAATGTTCATAACATAGTTCAATCCCAAGATCTTGGCGACATCTGATGAATCATGTTTGGTTTTGGTGATGATATGTGATGATCATGTTGTAATGTTCCACGATCCCGCCTGGATATTGATATTGATGTTGATGATGATGATTATTATTATTAATGGTATTATGATTATGATGCCGACGCCGACGCCGATGATGAAAGTATTTTAAGACGATGACATAGTTGTTTAAGATGTTTGAAGATAAGCCCCACCCCATCAATTGATGATGATGAGTACAAGAGTATGTTCCACCATTGACTGTCCATGCACTAATCGATACTAATCGGTGTACAACAATATGGATTGACTATGTTGATTGTCGGTAGTCACTAGCAAAAAGTCACTGATCCAAACATGTCCAGAACAAGATTCAACCCTTAGGAAATCAGCGCCCGTGGGGCCTGGGAACTTGGTTGAGGTCGTAAAACCTGCCAAGAAAGAGTACAAACTCGGGTTCAGGGAACAAGCATGTTTTTTTTTCGGTTTTCCAATAGGTGATGGATGGTAAACCATGGTAAACCATATAATGTCCATCAAAAGCATATGGTTTTAACATGAGTCTATTTTGACTGGGGAAGGTAAACATGATAGTTATTTATGGTTTTATTACTCCATATGGTTTACCTTCCCCAGTCAACTCTATTTTAAAGAGTCAACCTTTTGCCAACCCCCTTTCCAGGTCACAGCTTGAATCGGTAATCCGGACCCCGGACCAGCCACCTGCCTCTGGCTTCGGCCACGCAGGACTGACGATGAAAAAACTCGTCCAATAAAGGTGTTGGATAATGGGGTAAAGATACAGAAAGATGTGCGAAAACCTATGATTTCCCTAGAAACAATATCTCCAAACGGATCTTCCACATCTTAGTTTACATGGTTTTTAACCCTTACTTGAAGACTTGCGATAATCTTTGGACATATTTGAAATCACCAATGAGATTGGGTCCTACAAGAAACAGAACTGGAGATCAAATTGGATGAATTGGACGGTGTTGGATGGTGCTGAATTAATAACCCCGCCAAGACACCTCACTACTACGCAACTGGAATACTCTTCCCAAACACAAACCAGACTGGAGATTTGGCAAGTCATTGGGTACCAAAAAAGAAATGAGCATGGTTTACAATGTTTACAAGTCAGCAAAGGATCACTCTACATGTGCTCTCACACCAGCGAAGAATGAGAAATTGAATCCAACAATCCGAATTTGAACCAACCATGGAGTGTTGGCACCAACATCTCGGTGGTAAGATAAGCATGGCTAATACAGTGGATGGGCCAGCGAAATCCGAATCACCAGTTGAAAACGCTGCTAAACATCCCACTACTTCTAGGGTTTCAACCATCCAAGGTGGTGCAGGATTTCGCACCCATCCACAGTATGTATATTATAATAATATATATATATATAAATATATATCTTATATCGCCAAAATTGGTGGGGTTCCCCTATCGGCTGGGTTAGGATCATGGTTTCTGGCCACTTTCAACCATCAATTCAACGATGAACAAGGTTGATATAAATGGCTCGGGGACCACCAAATTGATGGCATGAACAGATCATAAATCATAAACCTGTTTTAAAAAAAACATTGTGTAAATACAGTAATAGTACTATATATATATACACCCTACATATGTATATACATATAGTCATCATAGTTACGTGTTCACTGTATTACCATTATTTTCATTATCATTATTATTGTTGTATTATGTTACATCTTACATGTATATATATATGGGTAAATTATAATATTTCACCAACCTGAATTAAGGCCACTATGGGATGATTTCCCTTATTAACCATGATTTCCAGTGAGGTCGCAGTGAGGTCGTTATAATTTACCCAGTATTATATATATATATTTGAGCCATAGACCACCAGAACCACGCAGTGTTTGCTTCCCTCGCGCACCTGGGAAGAACCCGTACGGTGACTTGTTGGTTCCTTGAGCACGGCAGTGCAGTGGAGGGTTTGGTCCACAAAAAAAGGGGGACCCGGTAATCCGCAATGAACAAAGAGAAAATCATAGGAAAATCATAGGAAAATATGGGAAACATAGAGGAAAATCATGGGAAAATAGGAACATCTGTTTATCGTCGACAGTCTGTGTTGGTTCCATATCATTTGTTGTTGATCAATCTGAGGTGATATTGAATGAATCTCTTCTTTTGCTGGCCAACTCACTTCAATTGCGTTCTGATCTTTTCAGGTTCCCCACATGAAATCCATTCAACTTCCGGACGTTTTTTGTCCAGATGTTTTTCCAACATGTCTTTCAAAATCCACCTATGAAATCCAGTTGTTTTCCCGATCTTTCTGAAGATTTCCATCAAAATCACCCATGAATTTCATGAAAATCCCACATTTCCCAGATGTTTGCTTCTAGAGTTCCCAGGATTTTCCAGGATTTTCCATGGAAATCACCTAGGAAATCCTAGGAAATCCCAGGAAATCCCGCCTTTTCTCCACCCCAAAACGGCCCCAAAATGGCCCCGAAACGGCCCATTCCTCTGCTGCGCCGCCACGGCCGCCGTCTCGGCCAGCGCGGTGGCCTCCGCAGCTCTGGCCAGGTCGGCCTGCAAAGGGCAGCGAAGGGGGAAGAATGGGGAAATTTATCTGGGTAAATTATAATATTTCACCAACCTGAATTAAGGCCATTTGGGGATGATTCCCCTTACTAACCATGATTCCAGTGAGGTCGCAGTGAGGTCGCAGTGAGGTCGCAGTGAGGTCGTTATAATTTACACAGATTTATCAATATGATTAGGATTATAATAATTATTTTAGGATGATAATGGAATTATTAGTATTAGTAGTGCTTCCCCATTATAATTAGTATTATATATATATATATATTTATACTGGGATTATTATCGGATTATAATGGATAATATTAGATTATAATGGGATTAATTATTATGGATTATTATATATTATTATAAGGGGAAATAATGTGATTATAATGGGATTACATAAGGGGAAATATTGTGGGATTATTATTAGTATTTCCTCAAAGTTAGATAATAATATGGGATTATAATGGATAAAGTTCCCCGTTAGAATGGATTATTATTATAGGATTGTAATGGATTATTAGATATTATTAGTAATTATTATGAGTATTTCATATTTATCTATATGGATTATTATTATAGGTTTGCCCATATTATAATGCATTTACCCATATGTCCCCATAATCCAATAATAGTTAACCGATGAAAATGAATTACCCTCTGGTAATGGCTAACAAAGCTATAGAGAACCACCATGTTTAATAGGTAAACCGTCTATGAATGGGCAATTTTCCATAGCTGTGTTAGTTTACCAGATGGTAATAATGATTGGAATATGACATTGGGAAAATTAATTAATTGGAATAATGTCATGCAATAATTATCCCCATTAATTATGGATTTCACCATAATTATTAATGGACTAATTATGGATTATGAATTACTAGATAATTTGTAGATAATCACTGAAAAATCCGTGGATTAATAGATAATGATCCAAATAATTAAGTTATTAATAATGATTGGAACATCACATTAATTTGTTATGGGTTTCTACCGTTAATTATTAATGGATTATTACCATATTAATAACGATTCTTATTTTTTTTGCCATTAATAGTGATGAGTAATATGGTAATAATGGTAATAATTGTTGAACATCATGGTTTATTAAATGGGGATGATTATCATAAATAGTTTGAAACGTTATCTTTGGGATTATTATCTTCAATGGAATCGTTGTTTATTTTAGAATTGCATTTTTTCTAACATTATGTTTTATTGCTTGCTCATTTTTCTAATACTTGATCATTGTATAAAAAGGGGAAATTACCAATGAGAATATTGGGGAATAATGTTATCCTAATAATGGCATGGGGAATAATCTTATTACAATAAAACCATTAATGAACATGGTAAATTGCCATTGGTAATAAGAAAAGGGGAAGAAGGGGTATTATTGCAATTGGTCATGGGAAATTATTAAATGGTATATAATTATTCTTGAATGGGTCATGGCAAGCATTCTTGTTATTATTGGGAACACATTTCAAATCGATGAAATCATCACTTAAATCATCTATGGGGCCATGGTGAAATCATAGCTATGTTGAATAATCAGATGGTACCTAACGAAACTGTGCATACTATGTGGGGCCCCCAAACGATATGGCTATAGTAATAAACAACGGAAATATCTCCGGATTTTCCACCT